GAAGAAGAAGAAGAAGAAGAAGAAGAAGAAGAAGAAGAAGAAGAAGTAGAAGACTTGTAGAAGGGTTTACTGCCACTGACATGACAGTCCATCTTTAGTGTATACGGGTTTACTGTCACTGTCATGACAGTTCATGTCTTCGTTTGGTTTGATACAACACCATGGCCACTGCTAGCTGTGCCATATACACGTCCTCCTGCATCTCTGTGGCCACACTGGGTACGCATTCGGTAATTTCACTGTACATCCCAAACGTGGCCTGGTCGACCCAGTTTCGTGTTGGTTCATTCTTCTTCTAAGGCATCTTGCATAGTGCTCTTATCTGGCCACATCCATACAACCATACGCTGCTTAGATTACAACGTTTACGCCATCTTGTCTATGTCTTTTATATTATCTACTTTGCATGTGTGTACCCTAACAAATACACAGTTGATTTGTAAACATTTCAGGATTGAGAAATTTCACCCCAAAACTTCAGTCACTAGATAATCAAAATAAGCTCAACATTCCAGCAGAAGCATAGACACGGAGAATTAACAATTAAAAAACAAAGACTTAGAAAGGTTATGATAAGTGCGAGAAAGGAAGAAACAATCAAGATATGTACAGACAACCAACAATTAAGTGGGCAAAGGACGTCAAGAATCTAGATGGAAAAATGTCATTTGATGGAAGAATTGAAACGGAAATCAATCACAGATGTAATAAAGCAAATCAAATCTTTGGACAAATGTTACCAACTTTTCAGAACAGACATGTCACAATTTATCACCAAAGGAGCACTATTTAATATATTTTTTAAAAAAAAACATTGCCCCACTGGACATGAACAACACAAGACACACACACACACACACACACACACACACACACACACACACATACAAACACACACACACACACACACACACACACACACAAATCGAAACAACATAATTAATTAATAATAACATCACTGCGTCGTATCATAAATGTAACTAGAATAGTCGGGATCAAAACTAACGATGACCTGATGAGGTCAATGAAAAAGTTCGGGGAATCTGATGAAACAAGACTGGAGGAGTGGACCAGGGTCCTTATTTCCCGTGTCTGACCAAAGTGTTTTCGACTCACTTCACCTGCAACATATTGTTTATGTGAGTATCTAAATTCACTGAATGAAATGTATAATTGTTTTGTTAAGAATGAACTACCAAGAATTGTTTTTAACTTATTGAACTAGAAAGAGTGAGGTTTCCTTGTTGACATTGGATTCAGTCATGAACATGCCGGACAAGAGACAGGTCAGATGTTGCTTTGCCTAGAAACTAATTAGTCGACATCATTTCTCTTCCATCACCCACATTAGCCCTACCAGACTTGAAGCCCTGAACCTATCTGCCTCATATACCTGTGCTGCGGAGAATTAACACGAAAAACCAACATGATATAGGAAAATATAAGTTACAATGTGACATACATCATACATGCAAACAAGTGGTTAGAATAAGATGGAACTTGGAGACAATGTAGACAATAGGGCTACCTTTCATCTGGCGCCAATATTCCACCTTTGTGTGCCAATCCACCCAGGAGGATGAGCCTTGTTTCACACAGAGTTGTGTGTCAATTCACCCAGCAGGATTAGCTTTGTTTCACACAGAGGTACTTGCAAAGTGAGCACCAGATGTTTCTTTTAACCTTCTTGCATGGATTGTTTTTATAAGACACTCCAGGATTTTGCTTGTTGTACGTGGAGTGCTTTTCCATGCACACAACACAGATAAAATTAGACAGTGTCCACTGGCATCCTTAAAATTTTTGGCATTGTATCAATGTAGGAGTTGAGCTTTGCTGTAGGCAGTTCATGGGCCCATGGACCCGAGGGTTGGTTTTCTCTGTCAGATTTTGTCAGAGCAAGGATAAAAGTTCAGTGAGTTCACTCTCCTCTGTGATAGATCTAGGAATGTTCACTCTCCTCTGTGATAGATCTAGGAATGTTCACTCTCCTATGTGATTGATCTAGGTATGTTCACTCTTCTATGTGATAGATCTAGGAATGTTCACTCTCCTTTGTGATAGATCTAGGAATGTTCACTCTTCTCTGTGATAGATCTAGGAATGTTCACTCTCCTCTGTGATAGATCTAGAAATGTTCACTCTCCTCTGTGATAGATCTAGGAATGTTCACTCTCCTCTGTGATAGGTCTAGGAATGTTCACTCTCCTCTGTGATAGATCTAGGAATGTTCACTCTCCTCTGTGATAGATCTAGGTATGTTCACTCTTCTCTGTGATTGATCTAGGAATGTTCACTCTCCTCTGTGATAGATCTAGGAATGTTCACTCTCCTCTGTGATAGATCTAGGAATGTTCACTCTCCTCTGTGATAGATCTAGGAATGTTCACTCTCCTCTGTGATAGATCTAGGTATGTTCACTCTTCTCTGTGATTGATCTAGGAATGTTCACTCTCCTCTGTGATAGATCTAGGAATGTTCACTCTCCTCTGTGATAGATCTAGGTATGTTCACTCTCCTCTGTGATAGATCTAGGAATGTTCACTCTCCTTTGTGATAGATCTAGGAATGTTCACTCTCCTCTGTGATAGATCTAGGAATGTTCACTCTCCTCTGTGATAGATCTAGGAATGTTCACTCTTCTCTGTGATAGATCTAGGAATGTTCACTCTCCTCTGTGATAGGTCTAGGAATGTTCATTTTCCTCTGTGATAGATCTAGGAATGTTCACTCTCCTCTGTGATAGGTCTAGGAATGTTCATTTTCCTCTGTGATAGGTCTAGGAATGTTCACTCTCCTCTGTGATAGGTCTAGGAATGTTCATTTTCTATCCTCATTAAAATCCACATCTGTATTTGGTTGTCCACAATTCCTTGTCCAACCTTCATCACCACCTGGATCTCCCCCATCAGCTGTTTGAGGTACCCCCCCCCCCCCCCACCTTTTTTAAAAACTATCAATCCAGCTCTAAAGTTTCAAGATTCTCCTCATCACTCGAGCTCTCACTGTCTGTGTCAGTTGAACTGGAAACATATTCTGGCTATTCTCCGAGTAACGGTCCCAAACTATCGAGGCTGAAAATATACCCTAACAGTGCCTCAGTCACGTGTCAATTGCGGACTTCCAGGGACTATATCAAGTCACCGGAAGTGCACAATTTAAGTCACTGGAAATCGGCAATTGACACGTTACTGAAGCCCTGTTAGGGTATATTTTCGGCCTCGATAATTTGGAACTGTTATTCGGAGGATAACCCATGTTCTTGATGAAATTCTGACTCCTTAGAGTCTGAAACCACCAAAGTATTGATCACCTGTTGGACTATGAAAAGCCTAGACCTACTTCACTTTCCTGTTGAGTGATTGGTTCACTAGCCGCTCGTTTCAATGTGAATTCTCATGTTTCACGTTAATCAACCGAACAAAGTCACTTCAGACACATGGCGGCAGACATTTGCACTGGCTAACCTTGAGGTTTGACCACAGCTGGTCAGTGATATTGAAACATTTTTATTTTTCACGTAATAGGCAAAGTACCGGAAAATTAGATACAGCGGTATACAGCAGAATAGAAAATTACTGAAAAAGTTGGTGCAGCTGTCTGGTAGGATTAGACTTCATGTTACTTTGTGGCAGCAGAATAGGTTGCCACGCTGTAACTGAGTTATAGGGTTTACTCCTGTGCGATTCTCATCCTTGGTTTGTAGCTTATTTCTGCACACAGGTTCCCGGTAAAGTCAGATATTATGTGTGTGTGGGCTGGGGGTTGTTAAGGTTAGTGTTAGTCTCACACCATAACACCCCTTTACTTCTGGAATTTCCCAGGAACTCCCCATAATATTTCAGAGTTCCCAAGATGGAGGAAATAAAAGAATTAACAATAACATTACTTGTGAGGCTTTATTCAATTATTAATATATAATATTCACTGTCATGACAGTTCATCTTTAGTGTAGAAGGGTTTGCTGCCACTGTCATGACAGTTCATGTTTAGTGTAGAAGGGTTTGCTACCACTGTCTTGACAGTTCATCTTTAGTGTAGAAGGGTTTACTGCCACTGTCATGACAATTCATGTTTAGTGTAGACAGGTTTGCTGCCACTGTCATGACAGTTCATCTTTAATGTAGAAGGGTTTGCTGCCACTGTCATGACAGTTCATGTTTAGTGTAGAAGGGTTTGCTACCACTGTCTTGACAGTTCATCTTTAGTGTAGAAGGGTTTACTGCCACTGTCATGACAGTTCATGTTTAGTGTAGACAGGTTTGCTGCCACTGTCATGACAGTTCATCTTTAATGTAGAAGGGTTTGCTGCCACTGTCATGACAGTTCATGTTTAGTGTAGTAGGGTTTGCTGCCACTGATATTTTGACAGAAAAAATAAACGAATATATGAACACACACACAAAAATGAAGAAGAAAGAATACAAATGGATGGAGAGGAAATGAGCACAGAGATACATGTTTTATAAGCCAATGTTTTGACATATCATCAATAAAGAAACAAACAACAATACTAGCTAAACAAACACATTCACTGGTTCATTTTATCAAACCACTTTCTGATGTACTCTGGTTTAGAAAGTACAGATCACTTTATTGCATACAAGGAACTGCATTCACTCCGCCCATGGGCTGGGTCATTGACTGCCAGTGTACACAATTCCAGCCAACTTCATGAGCAAACAGTCCTAGAGAACTCCCAACAGACGTGCCATCCTGTCATAAACACACCGTAGTTAGGTCAGTGCTATAGATCTGACCTGGAATTCTCACTGGTCAAGCGGCAACACAGTGTCCAGCCGTGCCTTGACTGATCTCTTGGCACCCCTGTGACAGGTGTCAGGTATCAATACCTGTGCTTGTGAGCTGGTATGTCACACACGTAGACACTTCATTAACTGTATATTATGTCTGTGCATTTTTCTCTAGATGTAAAAAACCTGACTGCATAAATAAAATGTTCACTATTACAGTCAGATCTGCCCAAGTCAGCACCAGCCATGTCCTCTGGCTACAATGGACCCCGCCCAGTGTTTGATGAGTCCCCAAGCAACAAGGCTGTTCGCAAGATTCGGGAAAACCCTATGGTCCCAATTGGTAAATATGCCATGTCTTGTTAGTGTTCAGCTTATAGACATTCCCCACAGGAAAACATTGTTGTGAATTTGTAAACAACCTTCACAAAATTGCTGATTATGGTTTCTAACAAAATACAGCTAATGGGAACTGGAGGGACATTGGAGTTTGTTTATTTCAGTGACAAGTATTGAAAAAAGGGGGGGGGGGGGGGGGGGCATTGAAGTTTGTTTATTTCAGTGACAAGTATTAAAAAGGGGGGGGGGGGGGAGACATTGAAGTTTGTTTATTTCAGTGACAAGTATTGAAAGGGGGGGGGGGACATTGAAGTTTGTTTATTTCAGTGACAAGTATTGAAAAGGGGGGGGGGGGCATTGGAGTTTGTTTATTTCAGTGACAAGTATTGAAAGGGGTGGGGGGGTTAGACGTTGAAATTGCTGTGTACTATTCTGACTGGCTGTAAACTCTGGCAGAAAGTTCTGGTGGTTCATCCATTTCTGGACTTTAATCTGGTTCTCATAGTTGAATTGTGTGTGTACATCAGTTTTACAGATCTGGCTTTTTTCTCTGCAGACTGCTAGTTTCTCACCAATTTAAAAGAAATAATCCATCTTTGTGACCTCTTATGACATGCTTATTTGGAGGCAGATATAAGATTATAAACACCATAGGTATACCAACACTCTGCGATTAGTACCAAACATGGAAATTATCAAAGTCTAATCTACATGGAATTAGCATTTGTGAACTGAGATGACTGGAAAAAACCGCCATCCTAACCATATGAGACATCTTAAGAAATGATGTTATCAGACAGGCTGTTGAACAACTCCATGCAGCAACTTCATAGAGAAACAGAAATTCAGATGGTTTGGTCATTAAGTAAGAATGCAGCCGAAACAACTACCAGCACAGGTGCTACACATGAACAGATCTGAAATTAAAGCAAGAGGTAGATCTATGAGAAGAGATGGACTGATGACATTAAAGAGCTTCTACATAGACACAGAATAAGAATAACCATTGCTGGCTATCAAGTAATGGATTAGAAATGTTTCTGTCCCTGACACCTAAAGTCAGAACTGGAAATTGATGATAATGATGAGATATTGATCCCTGTGATTTTTTTGTATGTCTTGGTATACTATTGCTAGAAAAAAATGCAGTTATATAATTTTGACATTCAAAATCTAATATATTGAGGGAAATTATTCAAATTGCACATAAGAATACCTTAGGGTTCATTGAAAAAAGTGACAATTTTTTTGTATCTGGGCAGGGAAAGTTAGCACCTGTAGAAGCTTTCCTGTTGGTGTGGTGTCTGGCATCGATCAGCATCTGGTTCTCCTGGGCATGCTTGCAATTAGATGTCCGATGTGAGTCTGTATGATGGCTGCCCACTCTTCCCTGAGTGCCTGGAACAGATCATGAGGATTGGCCAGAGCAAGGTTTCGGCCGGTGACAAACACATCTCTGCAGCTTATCCCACTGGTGCTCAGTCAGATAGGGTTGGCCAGGGAAGGGTGGGAATATTTTTGGCAGTCAGGAACTGTGTGGTCAGCCATGCAGAATGGGATCTGGCATTGTCTTTTTGAAAACACAGACCTTTGAGCATCCTAAGATGGAAGGACATGTGGTCAAAGAATTTTGTTGATGTATTTTTGCACATTCAGGCGTCCTTCATTGTGCTCCTGTTGACTGCTTCTGTTGTAACTGATCCTTCCCCACAGCACTACACCTCCACCACCAAATAGCTAAGCTTTATCAGCATACATTTGTGCTAAACCTTCAGTTCACCTACTGTAGACCCTATACTGTATGTCATGATGATGCAACAAAAGGACAGATTTGTCACTTCATTGATTCTCAGCTGGCCAGGGATGTGACTGCTTGGCCCAAAATAAAAGTCACTTTAGGTGATGGCGGCACGTAAGGACAGGTTCTCTCTGAGGTCATTGTGACTGAAGTTCAGCGTCATGCAGTCTCTTTCAGACAGTTTGATCAGACACTTGACACCCCTGAAGCCTGTTTCTGAGGTGATGAATCCGAATGAATCAATCCTCCACTGCTGTTGTAATTCTGGATCCTGCATTGTGAGTAATGACAATCATCAACTGACCTAGTGGCGTGGAACCGGTGCCAGGTTGGCTGGTCGTATTCTGATGCATGTTTAGCAGCCTGGCAATATGACCTTCACATTTGCCTGCCTTTTTGTATTCTTTAAATTTTTTTGTAGAGACACCACACATGTCTGCTTGGAAACGAGCTAAAACTTTCTGTGGCTTTATCTTTTTATAGGATTTCATTTGCATTGTCACTTAACTGTTTTTACCATATTTTATTGCTCTTTTGTGTGTGATTAATGAGCTAAAAATAATATGGTGATAAACACAAGTGACCACTGCATTGTGAAGATAACTAGAACTTAACTCAATTCATGCTAACATGTCCATTTGGCACCATAAACATTAGAGTGCTTTTTTACATACCATAGACTGCTTTTTTACTTAAAATCTCACAAAAACACATCATCAGATAACTCTGCTTACACTTTTGTTTTAACAGTGTATATTTTGTTTTAGTGTGCTTATCTTTTCATTTTTATATTGTGGTAGAGGACTGCTCACTCTGTTATTTCTCTATGTTTTAACTTGTGCGTTGTTAGCGAAGACACATCTGTTTATCCTCCATCCTTCAATTCTTTGTCAATGTTTTAGCTTGTGTGTTGCTTGAGACGAATCTCCTCAATCCTTTAATTCTTTGTCTGTTTTAAGTTGTGTGTTGCCAGAGAAGACTTTGCTCCATCCTTTAATTCTTGGTTTATCCGTCTTTACTTCCCATGAAATTACCTGATACCCATGTTTATAATTCTTTGTCTATGTTTAAACTTGTGCGTTGTTAGCGAAGACACATTTGTCTATCCTCCATCCTTTAATTCTTTGTGTATGTTTTAACGTGTGTGTTGCTAGAAAAGACTGCTTCATCTTTCAATTCTTTATCTGTGTTTTCACTTGTGTGTTGCTAGAAAACTATCTGCTGTTATCTTCTACTCCGATGTTATTTTTATGTAAATCTTGCTTCTTTCAGGTATGGCAGGATTTTTTGCCGCTGTTGCTTATGGAATGCGGAACTACAAGAAGAGGCCCCAGAAGATGACCCTGTCCATGTATGTGATGAGGTTCCGAGTCTTTGCTCAGAGTATCGCTGTCGGAGCCATGGGTCTGGGTATTGGCTACTCCATTCTCAGTGAAAAGTTTTTCAAAACTTCAGAAAAAGCTGACAGTAAAACCAAGTCTAGATAATGTTTCATGGAGAATAGTGTGGTTAACATAATAGTTGTTTCATGTTTCTGATATTAGCAAGAGAGTGGCGTAACGGTATGGGAGAATTAGAGGTACAACCAATATGTGCAAATTCTGGTCTAAAAGATGCAGGAGTGTTCACCATTCATGGCTGGAGATTTTCTGCTAGACTCAAGGGGATATTGCTGGCAGAACAAAATTGTGTTTTGTTTTTTTCTCTTTTTTTTTTCTAAATTAACAACTGCAAGCTTGAGGATTTAGCTAGAGGCAGTCACTGCAGTTTTGAAGTGGATAGGGGAAAATAAGATCACTAGAGGATATATAGTGTCTAATTCTCAGTCAGTGCTGCAGAAGGTTCCAAATGGACATGAGTGGATATCAAGCATTTCTACGCCAAAATTGTGGGGAATCACGTAGATATACTCTCTGGTGTATGCAGGATTGTGAGGGAATGAAAGTACAGATTTTTCAAAGTGATAGGGGAACACTCATACTGGACAAAGGAGACACTCTGAAGACCATTTATGAATGAATGCTGACAGAAGAAGGAAGATAGATGAAATCACATGGGCAAGACTGTGAATGAGGAATTAAGTGTGGATCCGACAAAAGGGGACGTATGAGAGGAAGAGATCGTCGTGTGTATAATCAGTGTGCTACGGAAAAAGTTAGCATCTACACTTTAAAAAATTTGCTGCAGGAGACGGAGCATCTATGGATATGCCTGGTTTGCTATGATGTTGATTCTTAACTCAGTACAAGTCATTATCTGAGATATGTTGTCTGATTTTGTGTCTCTGAATTATATAGCTTGACAGCAGTTATAGTTTTTGTTGAACTGAAATCTCTGCTATTATTAGGTATTTTGTGTTTAATTTCAAGTGTCAATAAGCGCTGTTGTGATATTTAAGTGGTGTAACCAGGTTATTTTGAATGACTGGGGTCGACTCATTGAAGCTGTATGATTGTGGTGTACAGAATATATCTGGTTGAACCAAATGAAGTGACCCCATGTATGAATCTTGTATTCATACTTCATCTCAGTTTCCTCTCTCAGTGAAATGATCTGAGCATGTTCAGCAAATGGTCGGACAGAAGATAATTGATCAACAGATCCTGACACAGACAGTGTTAGCCAATCCTAACAAAGACAGTGTTAGCCAATCCTAACAAAGACAGTGTTAGCCAATCCTAACAAAGACAGTGTTAGCCAATCCTAACAAAGACAGTGTTAGCCAATCCTAACAAAGACAGTGTTAGCCAATCCTAACAAAGACAGTGTTAGCCAATCCTAACACAGACAGTGTTAGCCAATCCTAACAAAGACAGTGTTAGCCAATCCTGACACAGACAGTGTTAGCCAATCCTAACAAAGACAGTGTTAGCCAATCCTAACAAAGACAGTGTTAGCCAATCCTAACAAAGACAGTGTTAGCCAATCCTAACAAAGACAGTGTTAGCCAATCCTAACAAAGACAGTGTTAGCCAATCCTAACAAAGACAGTGTTAGCCAATCCTAACAAAGACAGTGTTAGTCAATCCTAACAAAGACAGTGTTAGCCAATCCTAACAAAGACAGTGTTAGTCAATCCTAACAAAGACAGTGTTAGCCAATCCTAACAAAGACAGTGTTAGCCATGCAGTGTCTGGTCTCATGGAGCTGACCTCGTGGTGCCTGAGATCAGAGCCACAAATAGCAAAGCAACTCTTGTCAAAGACAAGTTCAGCAAAAATAAATATGCAACAAATAGGCAGGAAAACATGGACACAATGTGCCATGGGTGGGTGGCAAACATGGACAAATGTGCCATGGATGGGTAGCAAACATGGAAAAGTGTGCCATGGATGGGTAACAAACAAGGACAAATGTGCCATGGATGGGTAGCAAACATGGACAAATGTGCCATGGATGGGTAACAAACATGGACAAATGTGCCATAGATGGGTAGCAAACAAGGACAAATGTGCCATGGATGGGTAGCAAACATGGACAAATGTGCCATGGATGGGTAGCAAACATGGACAAATGTGCCATGGATAGGTAGCAAACATAGACATTTTCACCAGCAAAGCCTGGATGTATGGATATGTCTTGATGGAGACTCTGCATCAGCAGACCTGTTGGTAGTTTTCTGTTTTCCAGACTGGAGCCCCAGAAACCAACATGGAACGAATGAGTTTGTAAAGAGTGTTGTGATGATTTTGGAAATCAAGTTAACACTATCATCAAGTGTTTGTGTTTTGTTCAGTTATGTAACAGTACCAGAGTGACGCTGACCACGTCATCCACCGTGTGCCAGCTGGTCTATCAAATACAGGTCTACTCCTGTATGCCCAATATGGCCGAAGCATGGAAGAGGGTCTTGTACTTTACTGTGTAACAACAGAGTCAAACAAACCCAGCCAGGAAAAGCTTAAACAATTGCCATCCAGTAAATCTCGGTGTTTACTCTTCCGTCAACCATGAGCGACGTTCGTTCCTATTCCCTTACATCTCAACCAGCACAGACAAATGGTTAAATTTGTTGTTGTTGTCTGGAGCATATTACAGAAATCTGGATTGTTTAGTGGCCTGTCACAGTATTGAAAACAAGGTCTTCTTGTTTAGCTTGCGGAAAGTCACAGACCATGCCTTCTGGGGATGAAACACGCCAAGAAGCTGATATTTGTTTGTGACTAAAAATTCCACATTTTTTAAAACAAAAATCTGGTCACATGGCCAGCTGGTGAATAATGAGGAAATGTTTTCATGCACACCGAGCCAGAAGTTAGAGACAGGGAGTGACTTTCACACTAGCCAAAAGTTTTACAAACTCAAGTTAATCATCCGTTGCTGAATGATTTAAGTTTTTAGATGGCATTTTTTTTTTCAAAAAGACGAGAAAGTGAAATGTTTATATCATTATTTACACTTGCCTAGTCCTGTTTGTTTAGTAGACAGAATGTCATCTGATTTCCCAAGAATTTAAAGTGACTACTACAAAAAAGATGTGTTCCCTGTGTTACTGTTATTTCATGTTTTACAATTGTGATCTATTCTGAGTACAGAAAAATGGATGTCTTATCTATGTGGGAGTAAGATGACTTTACAACTCAGAACATGCATATTACATGCACGTGTGCATGCTCTCTCTCTCTCTCTCTCTCTCTCTCTCTCTCTCTCTCTCTCTCTCTCTCTCTCTCTCTCTCTCTCTCTCTGGCATCTGTAACCAGTTAACCACGATTGTCTTTTTTTCTTTTTTTCTCTCTTTTCCTGTTATATTTACCAGACTATGTGTGTGCATCTCTTCTTCTCAATTTCGTGTCAGTCTCATCTACATGCTGTCCGCTACTTTTGAAAATGTTAGAAATCATTTCTGAAATCACGTACATGCCACACATACATGTGTCACCTTGAGCTGGCTAGTACAGAGTCAACCTCTACCAAGAAATATCTAGTAGCCTCCCTTTGACCACCCAGGACACTGCTCTTCAGTTTACTCAGCCAGTACCTGGACTGTATTCAGTCAGTACCTGGACTGTATTCAGTCAGTACCTGGACTGTATTCAGTCAGTACCTGGACTGTTATTCAGTCAGTACCTGGACTGTATTCAGCCAGTACCTGGACTGTATTCAGCCAGTACCTGGACTGTATTCAGCCAGTACCTGGACTGTTATTCAGCCAGTACCTGGAGTGTTATTCAGCCCTTATCTGGACTGTTTATTCACCCCGTGCCTGAATTGTATATTCACAACCTACCCGGTCCTGCGCTGATGTTAAAGGTCATGGCTCGCTAATTATCTCTGGCATCTGATGTTATTTGTTATTATCTCTCATTCACTTTTCTTTACCGCTTTCTTGCATGCTATTCTTCACACTGCTTTTATTCCTACATTTTACTTTTTCCCCGGCAAAAGCCTCCATACAGAAAATGTTTCCTGATGATTTTAGCCAGTGATCCGGCATCACCGTCAGCTCTCAGGGCTTCCG